TGAGCCCAGGAGTTGGAGGTTGCTGTGAGCTGTGATGCCATGGCACTCTACCCAGGGGGATAGCTTGAGGCTCCGTCTAAAAAAAAAAAAAATAGAAAAAGAAATTAGCTGGGCATTGTGGCAGGCGCCTGTAGTCCCAGCCACTCAGGAGGCTGAGGCAAGAGAATCTCTAAAGCCCAAGAGTTGGAGGTTACTGTGAGCTGTGATGCCATGGCACTCTACTGAGGGCAACATAATGAAACTGTATGAAAAAAAGTATGGAAGGTTCTAAGGCAAGGCTCAACCACTGTGGCAAGATTCAGACCAGGCTGTTTTAGGTCAATGGGCAGCTGTTGCTGGCTTCTTGCATCTGGAGGTTGGGTTACCTTCCTTCCCTCCCCAACTAGAGGACAAAGGTGGGATAAAAGTCTGGCAAGCCACCAGCAACCAGCTCTTTGGGTAGTTTGGGGGAGGGGTTGAGTTGCAGCTCCAAAGTGCTATCCACTTCAAGTCCAGGACCTCAAAAACTCCCTCGGAGTGTGCTCTGTGGAGGCTGTGGAAGGAGTGCATCCTATCGTCTGACCCCTGTTGAATCAAACTGACAGGCTAGTGACAGTTGGGTGGCACAGCTAGGATAAATGGCTGGATTCTTTTTTTTTTTTTTTTTAAGAGACAGAATCTCACTTTCTTGCCCTCGGTAGAGTGGTAGTGCACTGTGGCGTCACAGTTCACAGCAACCTCCAGCTGTCGGGTTTATGCAGTTCTCTTGCCTGAGCCTCTCGAGTAGCTGGGACTATAGGCCCCTGCCACAACATCTGGCTATTTTGTTGTTGCAGTTTGGCTGGGGCTGCAATGGCTGGAGGCCCAGGAAGCTGAGGTAGCCCCAGTGGTGCAAGTCTTGGGTACAATAGAGGGGAGCCGGGGGTTGGGGGGGTAGTGGATTGCCTCCTCAGCACCCCTGCTCTGTTTCTCCCTGAAGCCTCTGCTGCCACCTTCCTCTTGCCTGCTCTGTTACCAGAAGCTTCTGGGGTGCCCAAAGCCACCTCCATCTGCCCCCTATTGGGTGTGCACAGGGTGCTAGGTGCATGCTGGTAGGCCAAACCAGCTTAGTCCAATTTGGCCTCCCCAAAGTAAGCTCTTCACCCAGTGCTCACTCCACTGGGCTTTCCAGTATGGCATGTCATGTGGGCTGCTGTGTCCCACCACCTAGCCTGTACGCCTTGACACATGGAGCTGTGGCTCTGTCTTACCTACTGCACCCGGTCCTGGTGAGCTCAGGAGAGTAGCCTAACAGGATAGAGGCCCAGGTCAGGAAAGTGTCCTCAGAGCACAGCAGTAGGCTTAATGCTGGGAGATGCAAGGGGATGTTGATCAGCTGGAGTGAAGGATCTGTGTGGGCCCCAGAAGGGGTAGGGCCTTATAGCCAGGACCTATAGAGCCATTCAACTGTACACTTATGTGCCTTGTAGTGGCCTTCGTCACACTTGGAAGGCAAGTGTCACACTAGTAGTATCTGGTGCTGATCTCAAACTACTGGGCTGGAATCTGAACACACCACTCCTCAGCCTTCGGGGCAGAGACCTGGGAACGGGGAGGAAATATGGCACCTGTTTTCACCTGCTCCCAAGGCTGCCAGGGAAATCTCTTTCAGTTTTCCATGTCTGGATTAGCCAAGACTCTGATCGTTGAGCCCAGGGCTATGAGGACCATCCACAGGAACCTAGCACCCTCCACATACCAAGGCTTGGCCTTGACTAGGCACCGCGTAGGTGGTATGTACAGGGGAAGCAGGGGGAAGCTGGACATGAGTTAATATCCCATATACAGTGACAGATGCCTTTAAGCAGAGCAGGTGAACAAACAAAGCCAGGATTCCCTAAGCATGAAGTAAGATTGAGGGTGCATGTGAGCCTGGAATGGATAGCCACTTGCCGGCCAGGAAGTTAAGTCTTTCCCCAGCAGCATGAAGTGACACTGTTTGGGAGCGCCTTCCACCCAGGTGGCCATAACATGGAAAGAGGCAGCCACTATGGCATCAAAGAGCAACACGCGGCAGCTGGAAGCTGCAGGACAGTGCTGTGCCCAGGGACTGGAACCTCTCCATTCTGACTGTGTCCCAGAGCTGCACCTGCGAGGCAGAAAGGCCTAGTGCTCCTGGGCTGCTCTCCACCTTTGTAGAAAAAAAGGACAACATATGGGTGGCACCTGTGGCTCAAAGGAGTAGGGTGCCGGCCCCATATGCCTGAGGTGGAGGGTTCAAACCCAGCCCTGGCCAAAA